GCATATCATCATACTGTTTACCTTTCATGGTAAGAAACATTATGCAAAGGGGAAAAAAGGAGAAAAAACAGTAACCAATAGAATTAAAGGCCTGACACAATAAAAGAAAAGGAAACATCATCAAAATTATTTATTCCAACACCGTTCGCTGTACCGCATCATACCTTTCTATCCTTGTAAACTATCCTTCTTCCACTGCATCCATACATTGATTTGTACATTGCCTTTGTATATTAAAATTCTCCCCTTTCTTTTTGAGATTCTCATTGATTCTGTCCAACTATAACTTTCTCTTATTTGTTAAGAATTCCATTTATTTTGATGCATGCTTCACTTCCATCGTATGGTTCTTTTTATTGCATCCAGCAACACATTTTCAGCTCAGCATGCATGCAAAATGTTCTCTTTTACAGGTAGTTCTTGACTTATGACTGGAAATGAGTATGGAATTATAGTCGTTGCAGTCATTAAGCGAGTCGCTAAGACTGAATCTGTTTTTATGACATTTTTTTTTGCAGTGGTTGTTAAATAAATTCATTTTCCCCAGTGAAACTTGAATTAAATGCCAGAAACCAGCAAAATAAATATATCAAAAATTGCAACCATGTGACTGCGGGACACTATAGACAGCTGTAAATGTGAATTGGTTGCCAAAATTCAATCATATGACTGCATGTGTAGGGGTGGCCATTGTAACTTCAAAATCAGCTTTGGAAGGGGAGGGGTCTGTTATTGAACAGTTGTAACTCAAGGACTACCTATACTGCTATTACAATGCCACTTCCTTCTCTTATTTTCCTTAGCTTTTAAAACTTTTAATACTTTTGCTGTGTCCCTTACTTCTGTTTCATTATTTAAATGTTACTGTAGGTTTAGACATTGCAAGGTATATAACAGTTTAGTCAACAAACGCCCGTTCTCCACTATGCAAACTATATCCATTTTACCCCATGAGCTTGCTCTTAACACTGTTATGAGTTTGGTCATCCTGATTACTGTGAAACAGTCTATCGCTAGGCAACTGATGGATGGTCAGGGATTAAACAAAGAATATTAATGTTCCTTAATGGCTTAAAAACTCTTTTCTATGCCTTTGGGATGGGGAATGACACCATTGGGTTAGTAAGGGGGAAGGAAAGAGATTATTTTAGAAAGTCTAAATGTGGACAAAGGAAGTATTTAGATAAGTTAGTGAAGGCATTTTTTTGTTCTAGTGTTTTTTCAGGAACCTAAAGCAAGGTAGGTTGTTTATAATAATAATAATAATAATAATAATAATAATAATAATAATAATAATAATAATAATAATAATAATAGTAAAGTTGGAAGGGACCTTGAAGGTCATCTAGTCCAACCCCCTGCTCAGGCAGGAAACCCTATACCATTTCGGACAAATGGCTGTCCAGTCTCTTCTTAAAAACTTCCAGTGTTGGAGCATTCACCGC